TTAAAACATAAGTAAAGTATACATTAAGATATAAGGAAAAATAATAAAATAAACCAAAAGAGAAGCCAAGCAAGACACTTGTAATGAAGTAAAGATTGTTTAATTCTACTCTAAGAGCCAAAAATGTTTTAAGATAATGAGTGGGTGCATAGATGAATCTTAGTGATTATCTAAAGTCACCAGAGAACTACAAACAAACAAACAAACAAACAAAAAATGTTACTTCTTAACAGAGAAAAGTACTTAATAAAGACATTAATCAAATACCCTTTTTATAACAGGCACTGTCCAATCCCAAGATGAGTGAGATGCTATCTCTACTTTTAAGAGATGTATTGCTATTTTCCCCAGCCCAGCCTGCTCCTTCAGGATAACTCTGGAAGTGTGTTTCACCCTCATGTTGCTTTAAGTACAATAAGCAAAACTGATATTACAATATAATCCTATCTCTTTTATGGGATCTGAAAGATAAAACAGAGGAGGGTGATTTAGGGTCTACCTTGGGAATCTCTTCTATCTCTCACACTGTGGAAGTTTACTTCCCTCTCGTGTCATGAATTCTTATTTTTTTCCAGTGAATACAGTCTATTACCTCTGAGACAACTTGCTTTAGTCTCCTTGTCTGTATTAATTCTTGCTTGGACCTTAAACTCTTGTCATAGACAAACCAATCTGATTGCTGCTTGCCTTATTTTGCCTTTTTTTGGAAAGACCCCTCCTAACTAACTGTTCATATCCCACCATCTATTCAAACCCCATTCTTCCTGAAACCCCAGGACACCGTGCCACTCCCTTTTTCCCTTTCACACTGAGGAGGCTCTCATGACACCCATATGATTCAGAGACTCCTGTTGTCTTGGATAGCCAGTTATCTTGCATTGGATTATTTAGTGTTCCAGATGGATGGTAAATGTCTTACAAATCATTTTTGTCAACAGATTGTGTTTGAAACTCAATCTCTGTTTGGTTGATCCAATCTAAATAGCTGATTAATACTTTAGTAATCTGTAAAGATGGTATTGAGATTGGAGTTCCTACAGTTTGGAAAGAAAATCTTACATCAAAAATGCTTTGGGGCCAGGCATAGTGGCAGAGATAGAGGCTTTCAGGAGGTAAAGATAGAAGAATTGTGATTTGAGGCCAGCCCCCACAAAAAGTTAGGGAGACTCTGTATCAAAAAGCAAGCGAGGCATGGTGGCACATACTTGTAATCTCATCTACACAGGAGGTATAGGTAGAAGGATCTCAGTCTGAGGCAGGCCAGGAGAAAAGTGCAAGACCCTTTCTGAAAATAAAGTAAAGCAAATATGGCTGGCAGTATGGCTCAAGTGGTAGAGTGCTTGCCCAGCAAGTGCAAGGCCCTTTGTTCAAAACTCCTATACACCCAAACAATGCTTCACAGGAAGAAATACAACAGGAACTCTCAGTTAATAAAACAAATACTTATTTTTAGAAAATGAATTTATACTTAAGGATGCTATAAAGAAATTTATGTTTTTTGCCTCAGTTTCCAAACATGGCTTGGCTTTAATCCTGAGTAGCTGAACCCTAAAGGAAGTGAATAAAATTGTCTGGAACATAATAAAATTTATCAGGATTTAGTATACTTTATAAAAATAATATTTATTTAGGTTAGTCATATAGCTCAACTTCTTTATAGAATAAAATGTAAAATGTATAAATGGCATTCCTGCAATTTGAATTTCATTTATATAATGGAGTATTTTTCAGCCAAGGATATTAGATTAATAGGGAAATATTTATAATAAATCTTTCACTAGGGGGAAAAGCATGGCTAATGCTGTGTGTCTCTGGGGTTATTTGTGGAATATGCAAAATGTTAATAATGATTTTCTTTCCGTTGAAGGATTAACTTTTATTTTCCTTATAGTTTTGAAATTTTCTATGATTTACTTGGCATAACAAAAACATATTATCAAAATTTTATTTCTATTCAACAATAAGAAAATAAACATCCTCATTTTAAAAATGAGCCAAAGACCTTAACGGAAGCATCAGCAAAGAATATGCATAGGCAAATAAACATTTAAAAGATACTCCCGTTAATATGTCTTCAAGGAAAGGTAAATTAAAACAGCAATGATATGCCACTGTATACCTATTAGGATGGCCAAAATCCAGAATAGTGACAATAACAAATGCTGGCTGGATGTGGAACAATAGTGAACCTCATTCATTGCTGGCTGAAATGCAAAGTGGTACAGCCACTTTGGAATATAGTTCGTGGTTTCTAACAAAGCTGAACATACTCTTATCATACAACCCGGCAACTGCACTCAATGAACTGAAAAATCTATGTCCACACAAAAACCTGCACATGGATGTTTATAACAGCTTTATTCATTACTGCCAAAATTTGGAAGCAACCAAGATGTCCTTCAGCAACTGAATGAATGAATCAACTGTGGTACAATCAGACAATGGCAAAATTACTCAACACTAAACAGAAACGAATTAGCAAGTCATGAAAAGACATAGGAGAACTTAAATGTGTATTACTGAGTGAAAAAAATCAATTTGAAAAGGCTACATACCCTGTGATTCCAGCTATATAACATTTTGGAAAAGGCAAAACTATGGAAACAGTAAAAAGATTAGTTGTTTGCAGCGGTTGAGGGGAGGCAGGGATATATAGGCAGAGCACAGAGAATTTTTAGGACAGTGAAGTTATCCTGTGTGGTGCTATAATGGTAGACACATGTCATTGTACATTTGTCCAAACCCACAGAATATGCAATACTAATAGTGAACCCTAATGTAAACAGTGAACTTTGGGTGACAGTGATGTGCTAATTTAGGTCCATGTGTTGTCACAAATGTACCACTCTAGTGGGAGAATTTAGTAAGGGGGGACACTATGAGTGGGGTAGGGGCAGGGAGTATATGAGAAATCTGTGAACTCTCCTGTCAATTTTGCTGTCATACTAAAATTGCTCTCAAGCACTAACATCTACAAAATATTGCTTATTATATTCTATACCTGACATTTAAGGACAATTATAGAAAGAATATCTATATGCTTTTCCATTTATGTACTTCAGAGGTTCAAATGCAAACAGTAAAATATGAAAGAAATTCACAAATTGTACCCTACTAGAATCAAGATCATATGTTAAGAAATATTCAAGTCTAGACTATCCTTAGGAATATAAAAAATCATAATAATTTTACATTAACAATGATTATAACTCCAGTTATGTGAATGTAGTATTTCTGTTCATTTGTTTTGAAGGAAGTAGCTATCCTATGCAACTTGAATTGTCTCTGTGCTTAGCATGTGAGGAATCATTTTTTTTGGCAGTACTGGGACTGGGTTTAAACCCAGGGCTTCGTGCTTGCTAGGCAGGTGCTTTACCACTTCAGCCATGCCTCCAGCCTTTCTTCTTTCTTTATTTTGGAGAGAGGGTCTTGCTATTTGCCCAGGGTGGCCTGAATCACAATTCTTCTATTTTATGTTTCTTATCCTTGCTGAGATAGCAGAGGCATGGCACCACACCCAGATTTTTCCCATTGAGATGAGTATTGCAAATTTTTCTTTTGTTTGCCTGGGCTGGCCTAGAATCCAAATACTCACTACCTCAGCCTCCCATGTAGCTTGGGATGATACGTGCGTGCTCCCATGCTCAGCTATTTATTGAGATGTTGGTCTCACAAACTTTTTGCCCACACTGGCCTTGAACTGCAATACCCTCATCTCAGTCTCCCAAGTAGCAAGTTTTATAGGTATGAACCACCACACCCCACTGCATCTGAGATTTTGATAGAATTTTTCACTGATAAAATTTGAGTTTCATACAGGCAGAATAAATTATTGTATAAATAAATTCAGTGAAAAAATTAACTTCCAAAATAGCTTTTTAAAAAACAAGGTGTTTAAAAAAAAAAAAAGCCTGCAACATATTGCAGTTTTCAAACAGAAGCAAGAAACTAACACAAAGCAAAAGTGTCATGACATCATTTAAGACTAAGTAATGCAATCTATTGCCTCCACCTCCTTTATCAACTCTGACCTCCTGACAAATAGACATGTGACTATTTGGTTTATCTTCATTTTCACCACTGTCCAGTAATGTTGACCCATTGTTTTCCAGTTTCATGACTTAAATTTCAAGTGCCTGCTACCCAAGATATTAAATAACAAGTTCGCTAAGTCTTAATAGATTACAGTATGCCCTGTTCCCACTCAGTCTACTATAGTGGGCTTTTGTTTTCTTGCAGATCAATATGAAGCACCTATAAAGAAATCTGGAAAGTATTTACAGACCCCAGATATACAAATAGGTGGATTTCCAAATAACATTACACAATGGCGAGAAGAGCAAGTGCAGCCAGCTTCTTGTTCATTTTATTTTCAGCACCTTGTGGTTTAATTTTTGCGCATTTCACATACCTTACAAGTGCTTGCCTGGCTGGTAGCCATGGCTTCTTGCAAAATCTGAAGCAAGTTAAGGAACTACAGAAATATAAATGGGAACAGTAATCAAACTGTACCTGGAAATCATAAAAGTGATAGTGTAGGATTACTTTTTTGTTGTTGTTGTTTTCTAGAAAGCTAGCAAAGTGTCATGTTTAAGAGCTTGGGTCCTGGATTAGACAAAACCTAGAACTGGATTCCAGCAATACCACTAACAAAGCGTTACAGTGATTAAGTTACTTTACCTCTCCAAACCTCTGAGTTTTTTTTTTTTAATTTGGTCTGATCCATAAAATAGGAATATAGTATCTATCCCTTAGGGGTTTTGTGATAATTTAAATAATTCTTCTCTTTTAGATACTTAGTATAGTGTCTAGCAGACAGTAACTCTACAAAAAGTATAAATATTGTTATAGCAGTTATTGGTTTCTTATTATTCTAGAAGCCCAGTCACTGGGCAATGGTATCAGCTAAAGTTCTCAGGATCTCTCTCCATTCATACAAGTATATTCATGAGAATTCATTCATCTTCAATACTTTTTCATGTGGTTAGTATGTCTCTTACCTTTGTTTGCACTATCAGTTCCTCATGCTTACGAATTAGCTCCTCATTGTCAGAAAGTGATGAACCTAGACTTTGTTCCTGCAAATCTCTTACGGTTTTCTGAAACCAACAAGTAACCTAGGTAAGAAGCAACAAAGAAAGAACAAAATTCTGATGATCAGGATAAATAAGTAAACAGTCGAAAACAATTCCTCATTCTTTGAAAGCTCAAGCTGCTTTAATTTATTTATATAAATCAATCCCATATATTAAATTAATACGACTTCTTTTTAATTTTTCTACATTTCAGCCTCTATATGCTTAAGAGAAAAAAACAAAATAATTTCAGAAAAAATCATAAAAAGATTTAGTAAATTACATGGCATGAAGAAAATAATTCAAAATCTTCCTCAAAAATAAAAAACAAAATAGGCTCACATGCATTCCTTCCAAATATATCTTAGTTCCGGGATACATATATGAATTTGAGTGTAATTACATAGACCTATATGAAGATATTAAATAACATATGTATAATTATGTTTTCTACTATCAAGAAGTGAATACAAAAATATTTAGGTTGCTTCTGTTGCTGAAAATCCGTATTCAGAAAATAAATGGAAAAGCTACTAAAATTCCATTAATATTACATATAATGTATATATAAAACTCTCATTTACACTGATTTGATTTTCCATGCTATACACAGTGTTAAAGAACTTGAAAGAAACAATGGATTTTTATTTTTTGGGGGGAGGCAGAGTATTGGAAACTGACCCCAAGGTCTCACTCATCTAAACTAAGCACTCTACTAAGCTTCATCCCCAGCCCTGGAAGCCATATGTTTTTAAACAATGCCATAACTTAACACGGGACCTATGACTTGGGACTCCTAGATTCATATTCCTTTCCCAATTAATGGAAAGATAGTCAGATTTTCACTCTCAGGTTCCATACAGCATTATCCTCATAATCTCAACATAACTACTGAGTCTAAAGAGACTACGACAAGCTAGACAGCTAGTTGGCTAGTTTGTTTAGGGGCATCACCTTTATTTTTTCTCACCAAGTCTACAATAAGCATTCCACAATTATTGTAAAAACAATTTAAATAAGTTTTGGAGAGTTTAAGCAGCTTATCCAGAGCCACCTAGTAAATGGCAGAGGCAGAATTTGTTCTCAAGTCTATAAGATTCCTAAGTCTTTGTTTTTTCCATTGTACCCTGGTTCCATGCTTGGGTAACCTAAAGTCTTACAACCCCATCATCAAGGGAAATGACAACCTGAAAAATGAATAGTAGCAGACCATTCAAAATGGCAGGCATATAACAACCCTGGCACTATGTTTTTCTCTAGCCAAGATTGTCTTGCCTACCATAGCCATAAGATCTCTTTTAAAATCCTATAACATGGAGGAATGTATGAAGCAGGAGCCAAGGAGAATGCTAGATTAGGGCTAAAGTTCCATACAATGAGTGTACCACACACACACTCACAGACCACAGAAGTCAGAGTTAGAAGCTCACCAGATAGAATAGGGCACCCTTGAGACCATTATAGGGTTTTATGGCAAAATCAGTTATGAGACCAAATGATCTGCACCAGTTCTTAGCATTTTTCCCAGCACAGAATGGGCAATAAAAATGGGGTAATTGTATTTCTCCATCTTTCTGCTCATTGGAAATCTTTGTTAACCAGAATTTTAGCCTTTCCTTAGTGTAAAGAAAAGAATAATGGTGACTGCACAGCAGTTTTCATGTAAAAAATACCTAACTTTCTTAAGAATATTTGGTAGTCTATGCATAAAACAAACGTTATCTAATAGTCCCCATATTTAAAGTATTCTGCTTATATACTTAAAATTACTTGAAGTAAGTCTGTTTTTTTCTGGTATCCCAATTAAAACTAGATGATATGTATATTATGTTCTAATATATATGTGTGTTTTAGAACCCACAGAGAGTATTTTATCAAAAGCTATGTAATTTACTCACTATTTAATTTTTTATAAAACAAAACTTTCTCACAAAATTGCAGTGAGTCAATACACAAACCCCAAAGGAATGACTTAAGCGATTCCTCAAACTAAAGTGGATCATAAATATGGCTAACTTTCAGAGATCATCTATTTTATTAAGTATTGGGAGTCAGCTTTATTTATTCTTAGCTGAAGTTTAGGAACCTAGAAATCTCAAGAATGTTTTACTAAGAGACAGTTAATATAGAAGCTAAGTGAATTAAACATGGCTACAAACAGGTGTTCACTAATCTCTGCAAACAGGTGAGAACCCTGAACACTCAGATAATCCTATTAAGTTTTGTGAGTCAAAAACTTGTCATCTAACACGTGCCACTGGTAAAGAAAGACAGGAAGGAGTGAATTGTTCTGATTTTTAAATGATCTCATCCCTTTTGATTTTCAACTACCTCATCCTCTAGATTTGGCCAATACTATTTTGAGCCTCACAGGATACTACTCCTATAAGTCCATACAATTCCCTACAAAAGAATATAGTTGAAGAACTGTGATGATATTCAGTTTATCCCCTCATACACCTGCCTGTCAAAGCATGCTGAGTTTCTAGACCTACACACTTTTATTAACAGATGCACTCAAGAAACATAAAAACAAGTTGGCTGAAAAGTCTACTTATCTCTGTAGGTAGATAATTGTGAAGTGTTCACATACACAAACAGCCTCACAGATCAGATTTATTACATATGCTATAGGATACACACAAAAATAGCTTTCAGAGTTCTTTTCAGCCTAAAACAAGGTACTCTAAATAACCAAGAGCATGTTAACCACAATACTCTGATACCTAGTAAATCAGTCATTGCATCCTATAAGTAGCTACCTCAGACAGCTGCATAGACAGCCCAAGTGTATTTTTTATAAGCTTTCAAATTACACCAGCTGTTCTCTCTAAAAGCCCGAGTATAAATACAGTAAATGATGCATCACGACATTTCTGAAGAACATCGTCCCTACAAAAAGATGAAAACACAAGACTTGGATTAAGGGCATGTGGAAAGGAAGGAAGAAAAAAAGCATTCCGAGTACACACTGGAGGAAACTGATTCTGAGCACTGATGGGTTAAAAGGGGGAAATGAAAAATTTCCTCTTTTCTCAGTTCCTGCTTTTCAACCTAACCTAAACAATGAGTTTAATGGCCATCCTATCAGTTTCATATGGCTTCTAGGTACTCTGAGGAGGTAGATTAAGTCAGAAGAAGAGTGGTACAGCTTTTTTGGTGTGGGGAGGGGGACAAGAGATAGAAATGGAGGTCAATAAAGATGCAAAGGAGAATCAGGATTGTTAAACAAAAACCAACAGCCGTCTTGAAGGTTGAAGAAGGATGCCAGAAAAACTCAGCCAAAGAGTAGATTTGCACTGCCCATTACAGTAGCCACTAACTACTTATGGCCAAGGAGTACTTGGAATGTCTGGACCAAAACCTGCTCTAAGTGTAAAATACACATCAGATCTCACAGAATTCAAATTAAAAATAATAAAAATACTACTTTGAGAATGTTCATGTTCATTACGTATTGAAAAAATATTTGGATATATTAGGTTAAATAAACTATATTATTACTTTTCATTTTTATGTGGTTTTAATATTTTTCACTTTTTTAGTGGCTACTGGAATATTAAAATCATATGTATGGGTCGCATTATATTTTTATTGGCTGATTCTGTTATTCAAGTATGTGCGGAATATCCTTACTTGTTAAATGTAAATTTAAGGACTGATTTTAAATTAAGGGCAATATTAAACAGAGTCAAGAGAAGATGTGGAATGAGATATCACTTGTAAGCCTTTCTGGACCACTGAGTGGGAGGCTGAGGAAGAAGAACTAATGATCCTCTCAAAGAAGTTGATTGGCTAAATAGAAGACAGCTTTAGGAAAATCAGAGAGAACAAAGAGGCTTCTTCTCACCCTTTCCTACACCCCCTCCTTTATTTGCTTAGATGAGACATGCAGTTTTCACAGGTACAGGGAACTGAAGGTACAGGGAACTGAAGGTACAGGAGAGTTAATGCAGGAATTAAGGAAGCTGAGTGGGAAGATCGGAGAAGCTGTTAAAGGTGTTAGCTTTGGGCAAGGAAGGGCTAGTCTTTGATGGTTGGACATTCTACCTCTACCTTGCATCCCTGCTGGAAATAAGAATGAAGAAAGTAAAAAGAGAAGTGTGCCTGACCTCACAGATAGGTATCAGGTTTTAGCCTGGGAAGCTTACAATTTTACCTCATCAATCTTTACACCCTTCCTGTGATGAAGGGTTTTCAAACAAAAGAGGAAACTGGGACCCAGACAGATTAAGTAACTTGCCCAAGTTAATACAACCATTAAGAGGAAATACCACAGGTGGGACCAATAATGTCAGGGCAGAATTTGTGCTTTCTGATTCAGTTTTTATTTTTCCTTCCACCACATGCATCTATAGAAGCCAAAGCTTCTGGAGAAAAGAAGTGGCTCTGATTAGTCTATGTTTATGAACGTTCTTAAAATAAAAACTACAGTGCAAGGCTAGTTGTAACATGGAAGTAGGCCTGTGTATAATCACAGGGGCTCAAGGAAATACTGCAATAGCAAGGATGATGGCAGTGTGGGTCAGCCCTGTCAGGAGTCCAGAGAGGATAAGGCCAGGTATGGACAAGGTCACAGCGAGAACAGACTGAGAATTCTAGTTCTCAAACAATACGTGCCAGAGACATGATAAAACCACAGGGAACACAAGGAATAAGAAATCTGATGGTCAAGGAAAACCAACTTGGGTGGCAACAATACGAACTACAGCCTGCAGCCATGCATCAGATTGCCATACCGCTCTTTCTTTTTCTGAAATTTGTTCTACAATCTGAGATCAGACCTTATTGTTTGATCTTTACTTAAAACTATGCTGAAGGAAGCCAGAGCTAACAATAAGCAATTCAAACCGCCTTAACAGAAATGCTTAAGGGAAGATGATAATCTCTTTGAATTACTTTCATTTTCTTTTCCATGTGTAGAACAGTTCTTGCCAAATAACCAGTTACTATTAGAGACAAACACTGATAAAGGAGGAAAACGGCAACATTTTTCTTCTGAACTCAAGACTTTTTGACAGTTTTCCAATCATCAAAAATAC